ATTAAAGTTATTTAGGATTTTGAAATATTTTATTATGTAATAAGAAATAAATAATATATATTCTAAACATAAAAATTCTTCAGGATTTCTTTTACTCGCTCCTTTATTGGCTCTAATTAGCCTTCTTATCAATCACATTGACATTGTCCTCTGACAAGAGTCTCTACTCTTCGTTTTTTTCTCATTGATTAGCTAGACAACTCAACGAATATATTGATAAATGAGATTTTCCATCAATCAATATTAATCTCATTAAAAGGTGATTTGGCGTACGCGATGAAAAATTTCGCATATTTTCTGCGAAGAGACATCATAGAATCACGCGAATCGTTACGCGAACATTACGTGTCGTACATCAGAGTCTGTGACGTCGTCGGTGACTTATCAGATTGACTTGTACGAGCTTGATATCGATCTTCCTCTCTCCAAGTATCGTCAACGGCTGATGATGACGATGTCAGTGTGTGTCATCGGCACATTGTCGTTGTATCGCGGCACCTACTCGTCGTCGTGATAAAGTAATCTGAATTAATTGGCCCCTAATTAATTAATGCAAATCACCGACGCGGGCGGATTCGCCAAATTAATGGTCGTTTACGTCCGACCGAGTCCGAGGTTCCCTTCTCTTTTTTCAAAGGTTTTCGTAACGAAAAGTTCGGGGTAGAAGACGGAAAGAGGTTGAGCTCTTGACATATTGCTACCTAGGAAACTCAACGAAGTGCTCTTCAAATTCTTCTTGTCTGCATCTATCCTCGCTTCTTCGGTTCTCTTCTTTTTGTTCTTCTCTCCCGGCGGACGAGAGATAGTCCACTAAAATTAGACTTTGACTTCATAAAAATTAGGATGAAACTGAATTTTTGTGGAGACCTTTATTTCGATGTTCTAATAAAATCCTGAAATGTACCCTTAATTTTATCTAGGACGTTTTTATGGGTAAATTTTAGTTTTTGCCATTATCTCGAAAACTATCATATGTGCAAGAAAAATAGCTATTATCAAAATTGTAGCTCATACAATTCTCTATAAAAAGGTCATTATACTTTTTTTCGTACAACTAATCGTTTTTGAGTAAAACGTGCGGTAAAGTTGCAATGTTTATAGTTCGTAAAAACACGTATTTCTTTCCACACCACGCATTTCTTTCAGACTTACTTCGCTCTATATCTTCGAAATAGTTAATTCTACGAAAAAAGTACATAAATCTTTTTTGTAGGGAATTTTATGAGCTACAATTTTGATAATAACTATTTTTCGCGAAAAATTGATAGTTTTCGAAATAATGGCAAAAAACTAAAATTTATTTTTACTGGACTAAGAGTCAGTTTGCGTCGCGAGATTCTTGATGCTGCAAGCTTCCTCGGCAGATTTTCTCCTCGAGTAGCTAATCGTCTTCGCACGTGCGATTGTATTCAACGTTTCCCCGGAAAATTCGTCCCCCGCGACACAACGAGTATCGAAGTAATAATCTCGCGCGCACGTACGCGACTTTTATTCGACCATTTTCATCGCACTTGCGCTCATCCTTGTTTCCGGTTCTCGAAATTCAACTCTTTGAGTCTGGAACGTTAAATTTGCCGTCCCGAAACGACATTGAAAGCTTTCCGATAATTCTTAAAGAAACATTCAACGAAACGTGCGAATCGGGCTCAGAAAACGTGTCCCGACGTTCTCGATTTATTTTGGAGGAATGTAGGTCTCTGTAATAAATTTATAATCGCTGTAATAAATTTATGATCATCTGTACGTGTGTCAATAATATAATTTTTATTCGACAGAGACAGTTTTATTTACAAACCACATTTTTATTTAATAATTATTATATTTTTATTTTAATATAATAATACAAATATTTCTTTATATATTATGTAAATATTTTTATTTTTATATATTATATATAAAATTATATACATATAATACAAAAATTAAAGCTATAACTAATTTTATATACATATTTTATTTAATAATTTTATTACATTATATATAAATAGTCAATTTTGTATTCGACGGGCCGCTGAAAATATTGATGATTATTGATGATATTATTACACTTAAAATTAAATAAATGATTTATAAAATTATTTTTAATAACATTTCCACGATAAATAAAATTATTTATATTTATTAAGTTTCTCATTACGATAATCTCCAAAAACTCATGTAAGGGGATGCATATATTTATTATTAATTGCGAAAATAAGACTATAAAATATTTTGCGAGAATATTTTTTTCACGTAACTATCAGGTATGTAAAAAGAATAATTAGAGGCTCTTAATTACGCGAGGGTCGAAATTATACATGTCGCACGCGTGTTACAAAGAAAGTCACATGTTCTTTCACTGCAGAGATTTGATTCACACGAGTGTGATTTAAAATGGAAAAAGTGGGGTTCACGATACCAAATCACATGCCAGCACGCAGCTTCAGACGAACACAAGTAGGTTGACAAGCACTTAGGTAGATTACTTTTTCTTTGCTCTCAAAAAGAGGGTTTTTATCGTCAAACTATGATAAAGTTTCTTGACGTTGCTTTGCGTTCGAAATCCGAATTCTTATAACGATAATTAAAGTTTTCCGCCTTTATGTGTACGTACGTGTACGACACCCTCTTTTCGGAGCAACTTCCGATTTTGCTTGTTATTGGAAATGTTACCGATCCTATCGTCGTGATTTTCTCAATGCAACTTAGGAGTGGGCAGTAAAGTGTTATCGATGAGAGTTTGCATAGGCATTGTTTTGTAGTTTGCTGCTAAACGCTCCATCCATCACCCTCTATCTTGATGAAATATATTCTACTAGTTCCTATTCACTCTCTGTATAAACTGCCTGATTCGAGCGGTAGTTTGCTAATTGTGAACCTTTATTATATCCGATACACAATACTTGTGAATAAGAATATATGTACTTTCTATATATAATTTATTGAAATGTGATAAATCTCATGTCGAGGGTCTCATACAAGCTTATATTAATTTATCATTCCTTTTTGTGTATCTATATAATTATATTAGAATTGATTATGAGGAATCTTTTCATTTTCCAGATTTATTTCATTACTAATAATAGAAGAAATTAAATATAATTGAATATAATTTTTCAGAAAAAGATTATTAAAATTCACAAGTCGCGAAATTTTATAAATATATTTTATAAATTATATACAAACGAATGTAATATTCTGTATGAACAAATTTGTAAATCTAAAAGTGAGATATAATTTTAAGATTATTTTATTCGACTTTATTCGATGGAGTGCAAATTTTGGATATTGAAATATTGAAATGTGATAAATCTTATGTCAAGGGTCTCATACAAACTTATATTAATTTATCATTTCTTTTTTTGTGTATCTATATAATTATATTAGAATTGATTATGAGGAATCTTTTTCATTTTCAAGATTTATTTCATTACTAATAATAAAATTAAATATAATTGAATATAATTTTTAAGAAAAAAGTTATTAATATTTAATGAATTTTAATTCACAAGTCGGGAAATTTTATAAATATTATAAATTATTATATACAAACGAATGTAATATTCTGTAAAGCCTGGAAGTGATTCAGATTATTTTATTGGATGGAGTGCAAATTTTGATGTTTGAGAAAAATAAGTAAACAGTGTTAAAGCGTTATTAATAATAATAATAATAATAATAATAATAATAATAATAATAATGATAAGGGAAGATTATAGAAGAGTGCGACTCACCCTGTAATAGTGTATATACATATTCCAGGAATATATTTCTTTCTGTTACGCTTCTGCTTGGGATTTGCTCAATTTAATTTAACGTTACTCAGATCCGCGTGGATTTGCATAAGAATATAGCCCGAGGCAATGGCCCGGTCCGAAGACTTCGTTAAAGAGGAATTTACAATTTCTCTCCGCCTCTGTAAAGCCGGCGAGATATCAGGATTCTCCGTAGCGGAGACTTGCGAATATACGATTGTTCTAAATACTCGTACTTGCCCGGTCTAGAGAGAACGTCGTATATTTTCAACTACGTTTATACACGGATTGTCTTCGTCGTGCAAAAACAACGCGCTCGAATCCAGAGAGAGAGAGAGAGAGAGAGAGAGAGAGAGAGAGAGAGAGATAGATTAATGCTGGAAGGATCTAGATTTTATGTGTGTCTTTCGCTTCTATAATCAATCTCACGCCGCTTTATACATTCCAATTAACTTGGACTAACCGGCCGACTTCCTATAGGTAATTTCCTATTAATATCCTCGTAGCGCACGCGGTGACCTGGATCGATAAAGTTTCAAGATACTTTCGCTTCGTGAATATATAAAATTTCGCGCATTTGTTAATCGACGACATGTAAAGTAGCTTCCCTTTGGACGCACTTCGTCCAGAAACGCGCGTTTTCGCACAAACAGGACGTAAAAAAAAATTGTATATACTTATACTATATTTTTCAAAAATTAAACATGAAAAGAGCTAATGAGAGCCAGATGTAGATATTAAGTGCAAAAAAATTATTTTTAAACTTCTCTTTAATTACTTTGAATTTTAAAATAATTATTAAAATTATTATTTTAAAATAATTAAAGAGGAATTTATTTTTGTTAAGCCTAATATCTGTATCTGCATCTCCTATTAGTCTTTTTATATCTAATTTCGGTATTTATATATAATTTAATTATTTCGAGTTTAAAAATAATTATTTTAAAATCCAAAATAATTATTACAATCAAAATGATTAAAATAATTATTCTGAATTCCAGAATAATTAAAGAGGAAGTTAAAAATAATTTTGTTGAGCCTAAAATCTATTCTTTTACGTTTTAGGTTCAAAATAAAATTGATTTTAAATCTCACAATAATTAAAAAGAAATTGACAAATTCAATTATTTTGAAATTCAAAATAATTAAAAGAAAATTAAAAACAATTTTGTTGCGTCTAATATTAGTATGATAGTATTTATACAATACGTCAGGGACTTTTTAATTTACTATTTCACATTTTTTTCACATTTTTTTCGATTGCAGGTGATATGGGTGTGCATACTTTGCCGGAAGAAGCAGGAACTTCTTTCGAAGACCGGACAATGGATGTCGAAGACGAGCCTCGGAGCCGTGGACAGCGCGCTGCTGCGACAAATGCAGGAGGACTTGCAGGTGGGTGGTCATCAGGGACTCGCGGACCAAACTCGGGATAAAAGACCGAAACTCGAGAGGGCGCACAGCGCGGCTGAGAAAGAGAATTTGCCGTTATTACAGAGAAGCGGAAACTGTCCTCTCAGGAGACAGTACTCCCAGCAAGAGCAGGTAACGTTTCTCTCTCGCCACTCACCCCGATATTCTTCTCCGAAGCGCACTCTCTTATTCACGAAGTCAGCATACTTTTGCGCGCACGCGAATATATATTTCATAAATGTATAGAGTCATATCGGGTGCGATAAATTCGCAACGTATATAGTATATATACAGAGTGTAACTAAAAAAAGTACACGAAGCACACCATCAGGTGCAGGACAACAAACTAAATCGAAAAGTCCTGAGCCATTTTTCAATCCGAACTTTATTTTTGACGCTACAAATTGTTAAACTTGACCAATTAGCGCGTGGCTACGCCTACTAAGGCGGGGCCTACGCTGTTTTCCGTTGTAGCGACGCGCTAATTGGCAAACTTTAACCCTTTATAGCGTCAAAAATAAAGCTCAGATTAAGAAATGGCTCAGGACTTTTCGATTTAGTTTATTGTCCTGCACCTGATGGTGTGCTTCGTGTACCTGATTTTAGTTACATCCTGTATATATATTTTTGCATCTGTGTGGCGTTTTTATTTATTCAGATACTTATGAATGGAAAGAAAGAAAAAGAGAGAGATCAGCCCGCGCCCCCTCGTCAATTGTGTTATATATATCGACGGATTTCGGTGCGAATTTCGGTTTTGCGGTTCCAGATCTCGGGTCGCCGTATGTCCACGAGCGACAGCGGGGTGGAAATGTCCGTTTCGCCCCACGCGAGAACTTTGCCGACGCCCCACATGGTGGTCGGCGCTTACCCGATACAACAAACTCCGAGACATCCTGCAGTCTATCCCGACGACGATCCCAACTTGTACCGAGGCGAACTCGACGGTCTGATGAGGCAGAACTTTCAGAGGCAACGATCCTATCAAGTAAGAAAAACCAATCGTTTTCGGAAGATTCTTGCCGAGAAAATTATCGAAGTTTAAAGCCATATTTATTAAGAATTTAATAATAACAGGGTATCTACTTTCTGATAAAATTAGGAATTGTCAGGAATTTTTTTTACTTTGCAAAATTTGGAAATTCTCGTGGATTTTTATTGACATCTTTTTTAAATTGATTCAGTCAAATTAGCAATCGTATGTATGTGCATTGTGAGCGTTAAAAATATATATTAAGTATACAATATAAATTGGTTTTTTTAATTTGATAAATGTTATTTAGCTATTATTTTTTAAAATAGTAAAAAAATAAATATTAAGTGTAAATATTTTGTGTTTTTTAAAATATTTGATAAATGTCATTTAACTATTATTTTTTGAAATAGAAAAAATGCATTTATTATTAATCTAGTCAATTGGTGAAGTCACATTATTTTATCAACAATTGTAATTAGTAAGGTATCAAGACAATCTCTTAAACAGCTACATAGACTAAAAAAATCTTCAAAAAGTTAGAGAAAGGAAAAGAGAAGTTTAGCAAAAAAAAAAAAAATTATTTTTGATCAAAAGTGTCTATACGAGTGTCATTTTATGGAAAAAATCGTCCAATTAAAATACGATTTGCTGCCTCATCCGTCTTACTTGTCTGATTTAGCTTCTTCTGACATCCATCTATTTCCAAAGCTGAAAAAATTTCTTTGTGACAAACGATTTTCCATAAATGATGAGCTAAAAATAGTAGTAAATAAATATTTTGAGAAACTGGAAGAATCGGATTTCCGAGATAGAATAAAAGCACTAGAGCATCGCTGAACAAAGTACATTGAAGTGCAGGGATATTATATTAAAATATGAAAAATTTGTAAAAAGAAAAAATATACATTCCTATATTTAGCCTCTTTTATTATTAGGCCGCGTGCTTTTTATTTTATTTTAACTTGTCCTCGTTAAACACTCTTTAGTTTTTAAAAGACTTAAAATTAGTTTTTTTTTAAGACCTTACATTAAATATTTTTAGCATATTAGAAATACGTCTGATATATTTTTACAATATTTAAGTTTTTATTAAAATCTCATGATGTTATCGATGATCTCTTTTTAATATCAAGATTTTATGTAAGTGTCATAGAAAATTATTCATTTTTTAAATAATATTTAAATAAATTAGTCTTTTCCTGAAGACGCTTATATAATAAATTATTTTTTATATTTATATTTTCATTTTTCATATATCTTTAGCGCGTTCAGATAAAGATATATTACACTGTATATATGTCAAATTTAATTTTATGATTAATCTGGCATTTTTTGAATCAAGAAATTCTCAGGGATTTTTTATACAAAGTTTGAGTAGACATCCTGGATAAAAAAAAAATACAAATCAACAAATAAAAAAATAGTGTACCATTTTATATTAAAAGTAATTAATTCTCTTACTCTTGGATCAATTGTAACAAGGATCGCACTGTAAAAAAATATGTAATATATTACACAAAAATATGTAAAATTACATAAATAATAAGGGTAAAAATACACGATAAATAATAGAAATGTTTACCTTTTCATTATTTATCATGCAATTTTACATTTATTATTCATGTAATTTTACAATTTTAATGTAATATATTACATATGTAATATATATTACATATGTAATCTATTATGTAATATATATTACATATGTAATATATCATGTAATATATTATATTACATATGTAATTTTACATATTTTTAATGCAATTTTACATATTTTTTTACAGTGCGTTTACCAAAATCTCTATTTGAAATTAATTTAATTTTGTGACTCATCGATTATATTATTTTACAGGATCAAGGCGCGGATCTCGGGATGAGTTATGGTCAGACGCCGATGGAGACCGGTTCCGTTCGCGGCACGGTACATCCCTCTCAGCAGCTTTCGATGCATCAAACACAGGGCGGACGTTCCGCGCAATCTGCGTCAACGGTGGGCGTCCAGCAACCGGGAAGTTTCAGTAGCAGCGAAGAGGAACGGAGCACACCGGAGTGCGCCAGTGACGAGCCGGACGAGTCGGAGAAAGGTAAGTGAATAATTCTTCCAATTCGATATTTATTTCTAGTCGTACAACTTGTCGTTGGATATCGAGTAAATTTATATTATACGCGAAATAAGGGAAAACAGAATAATATTATTTTTGTGACGCAAACATTTTCTACAGATATTTAAAAAAAATCAAACAATTCTTAAAAACATACTCTTTAATATTCTTAATTTTTATAATTCGATATAAAATTGAAACAGTTTAATTTAAAGACAGTATAATTTTTTAATCGGTCGAGTTTGATTTAATTTTTTCAATTATGCGATGTATAATAATATCACACATTTGTATAAACTACATCTTTTGTCACATCGGATCTTTCTTTTTACCCATTTGCTATATCAACTTTTGATGTATCGTAATATAATTTCTTACCGCGTGAAGAGGGTTTATGGCAAAATATGCTAATGGTGGAATTTAAAATGGCCTAATCGCCCGTCGAATTTATTCTGCAAATGTGTAATGAAGATATTAGGACGAGCTGATATTTGGTAGGTCGACTCTCTGCCCTTGAAAGCCGATGCATGAGGAAAGTTCAATCTTTCCGTGTCAATGGATATTTGGTTTATGAACACGAGGAGAGAACAAATTCTCCCGTGTCACACTTTGCAAAAGGAAATCGTGTAATCGATCAATCCAATGCTTATTCTGCGATCACAATGTCTATAAAATATCAATAAATCACACATTTAAGTACGATTTGATGCAATTAAATTGATCTAGTACAGGAACAGAAAAGTTAACAAAAATCATGCAATTATTTGTGTTGATCATTTTTATTTCTATATAAATTATATATAACTTCTATATAAATTTCTATATAAAAAATTGTATTAAAATAAAGAGAGAGAATATACAATATTATATACATATATGGACATGTGATCAAGTTTACGCGCAATATTGATGAAGGAAGAGGGAAATCAGTTCCGTTTTATTTGATTGCCGAAAAAGCAGTTTGCAAACTTGATGCGTCCTCGATAATATTTTGCCGGCGCGTTTGTTTTTGTGTATCGCCACGTCTGGCTCGAAAAATCGGTCGAAGGTGAGAGAACGGCGTATATGTATGTATGCGGTTCACAGCTGATTAAACGCGGGATCGGCGAACTGTGAACCGACTCATCCAGGTGTCGTGTGTAACTCTCGCAGAGTACAGGAATAACTTATATTCTCTCTCTCTCTCTCTCACTCTCTTTCTTTCTCTCTGCCCGCCTGTTGTGTACCACTTTTTTTCACGACGAAGGTCGACTTTCTGCGTCGATCGCAACATTAGAAGCCTGTGAAATTTCATAAAAGGACCCTGCACCAAATATAAAGGATTTTGGCTGTTTTTTCTTTCATATATTATATCCTGCTGGACAAATTATTGAATAGTTACTGAGCAGTATATATTTGCTGTTGTCTAAATAAAATTATATAGAACATCATCTAGATGGAATTTTCATCTTATCTTTGAATAGATAATACAAATACAATATATGTATTACCTATATCTGTGTCTTATTGTTAGATGAAAAAAGTGTTATTTATATTGAATTATCTAGAATAATGTTCAGATGATTTTTTTAGAGCACATAAAAATATTATTATTAAGTAGCAGAACTTGAACAGTAAGCAATAAAAACTTACAAATAAAAATAAAAATATATTTTTAAATTCCTTTTATAATTTACATTTTTTATCACTGTGTTTACATAAGCGGTTTAAAAATAATTTTATCTAGAAGTTATCTAGATGAATCGACATATATTTGTCTTTTATCTAGATATATTTAAAATAAAATCGCAGGCCCAAGGTTTTCGTATTTGACTGGCTGTAAATCAGCAACTATTATTTAGCTTTGAGCCCATCACATTTTTTGACCAACAAATACATGAGAAAATCAGCTGGTCTCACCAAGATTCAATTTTATACGACAAGTACAGGATTTTTGAACCTGTATAAAATCTTAGGTGAAATTGAATCAGCTGATTTTCTCACATGTTGTAACTTACTTTACTTGCTGAACAAAAAATGTAATAATCTCAATCAGTTAAATAATAGATGGCCAGTCAAACACGAAAAATTAGAACTTTGTAAGTTGTTAAACTGGCTGTAACTCAGTAACTATCGAATATTTAGTTTCGAAACTATTACATCTTTTATTTAGCAAGTCATAAGCTATAGCATACAAAAAAAAACAGCCAATTCCATCGAAAGCCAAAATCCTATATGTATCTGGTGCGAGATATTGACGCTTCGAAAAATAAAATAATTGCATATTAATAATCGCGATATCGCGAAGGATGGTTTAAATTTTTCATGAAAAAAAAAAAGAAAACAGTAAATTAAAATTATATTTCTCGCAGGAAGGGTCGATTGTGGTTCAAACAAGTCTTGTGTGGCTCTATTTGTGTTATGGGGTCCTGCGTAAGAGCGGAAGGTGAAGAGACGAGTAACGCGGTTGCGTTAAATAATTTCCACGAGGATGCATTGTAACGCACGTGAAATGCCACGTTATATAACTTGATGCGCACGTATCGATTTTATAATGGCCAGTGGGCTCCTCCGGTTTTCTCTCTAACAATCCTTGCCGCGCCATATATAATAATATCGACTGGACTTGACACGCGTGTGCATCGTCGATCGTGGGAGAAGACGAAGAAGGGAAATAGACTAGGAGGACTACGGGAGGAAAGGGGACGAGGAAAGAAGAGAGGGTGGAGGACGTGTCCGAGGGTTATTTCGCGTCACGTTAAATCTGCGATCGGAACTCCGCGATCGCGTATCCCGCGATATCCTGCGGGAATTCTCAGGTTCTGTCCTCCCGGTCCCGCCGTTGCATTGATCCTTGGCACGTTCCCCTTTCCTCCTTTCCACCCTTTCCGCTCATCCTCCGACCCTCTCTCTCTCTTCCTATATTTCCACCCCATCCTTCTTGCCGCCTCCCGCTCGCGACGCCCACACGCTGGGTGTGACGTCACGCGGCCAACACGTGGGCGAATTCAAACATCTGCCCTCTTCTTCATTTCTGGATAGTCTTCAACCCCTAACCGAGTATGGACTGAAGGGGGTGGGAAAGGAACGTCGCCGGCTCGACGGGGTTCGGAGCTTGTTTTCTCTCCCCGTCTCGAATGATTATACGATTTCTTCCGGAAAAGCAACGTAAAAATTTACAGGGAATAGCACAATTCTCTAATAGCACAATATATCCAAAAGATATTTAGAAAATATTTAGAGGATATCCAGAGGACATTTGAACATCCCCAGGATGTTCTCTGAACATCCTAATAGCATAACATATTCGAAAGATATTCAGAGGATATTCAGAGAATATTTAGAGGACATTCAGAGGATATTGAATGAAAGAACGAGCTGACAATCCTAACAGCACACATATCCCGAAGACATATTCAGAGAACATCCTGAGGATATCCTCTGAATATCCTCTGAATATTCTCTGAATATCCTCTGAATATCTTCTGAATATCCTCTGAATATTCTCTGAATATTCTCTGAATACACACTTACAGCACACATATCCCGAAGACGTTCAGAGAACATCCTCTGAATATCCTCTGAATATTCTCTGAATATCCTCTGAATATTCTCTGAATATCCTCTGAATATTCTCTGAATATCCTCTGAATATTCTCTGAATATCCTCTGAATATTCAGAGAATATTCAGAGGATATTCAGAGGATATTCAGAGGATATCCTCAGGATGTTCTCTGAATATGTCTTCGGGATATGTGTGCTGTTAGTGTGTATTCAGAGAATATTCAGAGGATATTCAGAGGATATTCAGAAGATATTCAGAGAATTTTCAGAGTATATTCAGAGAACATTCAGAGGATATCCTCAGGATGTTCTCTGAACGTCTTCGGGATATGTGTGCTGTTAAGGTTGTCAGCTCGTTCTTTCATTATAATATCTGTTTTTTAAAATTATCTTTCATTATTTTATTTGCAATACACTCTTGTACAGCTATACATTTTTGCCCTTTATCGATGAATGAAAGGGTTAGTAAATTTTATGTTTCCCTCCGGCGTGTGTCGCTTTTCACGTTAATTCAACTGTAACTCTAAACAAGCGAAACAACGCGAGTTTATTTATTTATTTATTTATTTTATTTTATTTTATTTTATTTTTTTCGAAAAATAAAAAGAGCATCGTCGACGAAACGGGGTTGCAAAATGTCATCGGGAGCACAATGAAGATCACGTGAACCTACACTCCGCCCTTCCATGCGACTCGTTACTTATGAACGGAGGTTGAAAACTTTGACATTTTCCCTCTCCCTTGGGAACGATGAAAGAACTGCGTATCGTATACGCTTTTGCGAGTCTATCGACAGGGGGGCATATATGTATGTTACGTATATACTATATTCTCTCGCGACGCATTTTACTGGGATTCGAGAGTTTCCAGATTAATTCGTCGATTATTTTTATGCTATAATAAACGAGAAATATTTGAGTTGAAAGTTTGCTTTTATTTTTGAATTTCCATTTTTTTCAGATTTATAGGTTCTAGACAATATATTTCGATAAATTTTATTTATTTATCTAAATAAAATTATATTTTTAATAGATGAACCATTTTTCACACTTACAAGATTTTCGACAAAATTATAAGGTAAATAATTTCATGGAAGGGCGACTATTTAATTTTATTTCAAGTGTCAAAAAGCAGAGATGCTAGATTAAAAATTAAGATCGAAAATAGGAGAATAATTTTGACTCGGGTAATTAGTTACATTATATAATATCTGGAATATTTTTTTACCAACATCGGTGACGTTCTTCTTCTTTTTTTTTTTTTGCATATTTACGGCACAATTTGGGTCGAACTTTCTCGAGAAGAGGCGAGTTAGGCAGTCTCATATAAATTTAATCCGAAGACATTGCAATTTGACGGTCGGACGAGCAGGGCTTTCGCGCCGTATTCATTTTTTACCATGGACTTCTTGCTTTCTCCTCATAAATCTGGTGCCACG